ATGGCCCCAGATTCTTTCCTTTTATTTTCTCTTTTCATCCATATTCTTTCCTTTTCTTCTTTTATGCACAGTCGGCCAGCTTGGATGGTCAGCAGACCCCGCAGAGGACTTGGCAAGTCCCACCAGGCCTGTCCGCCCCCCTGAATCATGAGACTCGGCTTCTCATCAGTATGTGTTCTGTGTATTTTAAGATAAGAATAAAATGCAATAAAACATTCAAAGTATTTCTATTTTAGGTTCTTCCTTTTCAGATCCCTCAGCAGAGAAAAATAATTAAGGGTCTTTTGCTGTCTTTATGGCCAGAACTAAGACTTAAGAGGCGACAGAGCAAGTGAGTAAGGTCCCAGGTCCTGTGCTTCCAGTCCCAACCATTTTCATTGCTTCCTTGGCAGAGTCAGTGTTTAGAAAACATAATGAGATATAAGTGTCCAAACTGAAGAAAGTACTTATTAGTTGTATGCCTGGGAGATGTGAAAAGGAGAGACTTCCAGAAGGCTTAAAGTTTCTCTCTCTCTCTCTCTCTCTCTCTCTCTCTCTCTCTCTCTGCCTATTTGAGACAGGCTTTCACTATGCAGTACAGGCTGGCCGCCTCAAATTCACTTTGTAGTCCAGACTGGCCTCAGACTCACAGCCACCATCCCGCCTCAGCCTCCCAAGTGCTGGGATTACCGCTGTGCACTACCATGCCCAGCCTCGTGGATGAATTTCTACACCTGGGTGTATCCTAAAGAAAACAGGAATTAGCTTGCTGGAGATGGGAAGTATGGTGACCTAGAATCAGTAAGTTCAGATCTCTTCCTCTAAACAACTGAGAACTCTTCATTCTAAATTTCTATGGAACCTCAGATTCTTGTATGTAGCCTCTCAAGAGAGGTTAGGACTCATCCCTTTCTAAGGCTTTTATCAGCTTGTCAACCCTCCTAAATATATGGGTGAGCAGAATTATTATTTTGAAATTAGCCCACTTATTTTTTTACTTTAAGTCCTGTACCATAATCATTTCTAGAAATTAAGCTGGACTAGCAGCCTAACAAGGAGTAATGTAAGTGTGTTACAGTATAATCACCTGTAATGTATTTCTAATCTTATTTGGCTTCAGATATGGAAAAGTAGAGGTTAAGTATCCTGAATAAGTCTGGGTTTTTGTTTTGTTTTGTTTTTCTTTTGGAAAGCAATATGGATCAATATTCTTTTTTTTTTTTTTTTCTTACGGAACTGGGTATTGAACTGATGGATCGATATTCTTGATGATGATGAACACAATCTTTAATTGTCACTCCTTCATGCCTTGATGTCTTCTTCGGGATAACCCGCACTGTCGGAACTGCAATAGTAGCAGCAATGAGAGTGGATGCTAAGGTCAATATTCACACCAGAAAACGTAACATGAAGACGTCATTAGCAGCTGGAAACTGCGAGTCTTAACGTTTTGAAGAAGGCAGAGTTTAGGAGATGGAATCAGCGGCCTCTGGGTGGAACAGGTGGAGGAGGATGGAAGGTCTCCCTGGTTGGAGGCCTGAAATGGAAGATAAAGCAACTCAATTTAGAAACTAATTTGATAAGTATATCTTGGGCATCTACAACTTGTAGCAAACTTGCTACACTATAAAAGGGCACATTCTTCAAGAAACAACACACCCTGAATGTCTGAATGACACCCATTCCAGCTGTGGCCATCCACTGAGTCAGCAGTAGAGCAGCCAAGCGTGGTAATCCCAGCTTCTTCAATTGGGAGGCAAAAACAAGGAAAATTGCAAGTTTGAGGAGACCTCAGACATCTGGGACAACCCCATCTTAAAAAAAAAGTAAAAGGCCTGGGGATGTAGGTAGGAGTGCGCTGCCTGCTTGGCAATCACAAGACCATGAGTTTGATTCCTGGTACAAAAAAAAAAGGTAGAATCATCAGTAGAGTTTTTTAAAATGTCAATTTCCAAGATCCATCTCGACATTCTCTATCCTTATCTCTGGAGCATAGGGTTCAAGCATCTAAACTTAGATAATGTCCCTTCCCCAGCCACTTGTGTTGATAATCGCGCCTTTTGTTTTTTGATGCTTTGCCCTTTTGGGGCCTCACCGATCCTGGAGGGTCCCCCCTCCCAGGAGTAGCTAATGTCTGGCTGATTCCTAACCAAGTTGCCTGTCTGCCCACAAACACCATACATGCAAAACACTCAGTCTACACTCAGAGCACCATTACTTCCTTGGGGCCACTACCCAGCCTGTCCTCACCTCCCAGAATCAGGTACCAGGCAACTAGAGACAGCTCCAGTGCTCCAAGGCTCACTGAAATTATCCAAACTATTCAATACTAAGTCCACCTACCTTGCCTTGCCCTTGTCATCCCTTCCATTCTCTGCCTCCTGACCAACTTTGGTGCTCTGTGTGCCCCCCTCCCCCGAGGTGGTGGTCCTCTCTTCTTGGGAACTGTGCATGTAACAAAATAGCATTTCAACGGGAGTTGTCTCCTAATCCATTGGCCTTACCTCACTTTAGTAATAAAACCTAGATTATGTTAAAACTTAAATGATTCAACTAGCCAGGCAGGAGGCCTGCTGTGTGAGGCAGGCCTGTCGGGAGAGGAACCGACAATTTCCAGTCTGCCGCTCAACAACTGTTTTCTCATGGGATCACTAAGTATTACACCAGTTCTGCATTTGCTTCCCTAGAAGGCCCCTATGTTATTCTGGATGAGTGTTAGCCCTGAGTAATACTCCAGGTGGACGAGGGTGAGTCTATTTGTAGATAGGTTCAGCGATTGCAGATGGCATTTCCATGTGTGTGCTGTAAAGCCAATATTTAGTTCTCTTGGAAGCAAGTCAATAAGTCCAGAAAGAGAGCTTTGTCAGGTACTGTAATTGAACTGTGCTACCCCAGAGTGGCATGCTCAAGGGTTGAATGAGTCAGTGAATAAATATTTACTAAATGTCTTTTGAATTAGTTTTGTGTAGGTCAAGGAAATGAAAACAGAATTGGGAAAAGATGGGCCATCTTAGGAACACAAAAGGAAGGCAGAAGTAGCGAAGAATAGCCACAGACATCCTCAGGAGGCCTTGCTGCAATCCCTGGAGTAGATGTCTTTGTGTTGTCATTGACAGACTGAGCTTCATGTGCTGCAACAAAAGGCAGCTTCCTTCTGTCTCCTTGGACTGCACGTAAGCCGCAGGCTTATGGAAGAATGCTGAAGAGCAGTGGGTAACGCCACTTCGTACATGCGCGAGTTTAGGAGTGCCTTCCTCTTCAAACTCTTCTTCTCAACAAACATTCATCTACCATGCAACTACTCCTGCATGTGTTGTAGAACTGTCAAAGACCTGGCTTTTACAGTACTGTAAAGGTGTACATGAGAGGACCACAGGCAAAAATCAGAAAGCAGTATGGGGTGTTGTATCGGGGGGAGCCCAGAACCTGTGGGAATATCTAGCAGTGATGCTTACGCACACACGTCTGTGCGTGCAAGATCAACTGTTCTGAGCCTCTTTTTCTCATCTGCAAGTGGAGGTACTGATAGCTACATTGGCATATGTGTGCCTCAGAGATTACAGTAGGAAAGTAGCACCGTTTCTGGCTTAGAGCAGGCACCCAAGAGTACTGTTCATAATTTTAAGGATTAAGGTCTGCCGTAAGATCTTTTCCCTAGGGCCTGTTTTACCCTCCTCTCTGGGGCAGTCACGATTCCCTGTGGCTCCCCTCTCATTCCGCTGCCCAGTCTGCAGTTGAGATGTACCTGCGCGTATGCCAGCTCTGCCTCATTCTAACAAACAACTCCAGCAAGAGAATGATGTCTCATCTCAGACAGATGGATGTGTTATTTTAGATATATCAGAACCAGAGGAGTAAAAGGGTACTAAATCCAAAGCAGGGTGGTCTGTGGAAAGACCCTCTGGGCACTGGCTTTCTCCCTATTGGAGGTGAGGTATTTATTACTGATAGTGCACTTGATTCAAACATCATGCAGTCAAGCAAGTTGACTAACTTCCTTTTAAAATAGGCAAAGGAGGCGTCCGGGAGCAGGTTCTTGGTGAGAGCCCATAGGCCTTGCTGGAAGTAGCAGTGTGTGATTACTAGGGATGGAAAATCAGTGAACAGCACAGTAAGTTTGAAATGGACAGTGGCTCAGTACAAAGCTGGCTTTTCCCCTCAGTGGTGGCAGGACAACGCTAACCTCTAGCTCACGGCACTCCAGCTGCCCATCGTACATAAGGACTAAGGAGCAAGGGAAGTTGCACGCCAAGACATGGCGCATCTGCTCCTGTGCTCACCGTCATCTCCCTCTCCTTGGGTCTTCAGCTGCGTGTGTTGGGAACTCACAGCAGGAGGGAGTGTGAAATCTCTTCCACCGTCTAGAACCTACCCACATGGGCTAACTGTTTAAGGGCTAATAAAGTCCAGTCCTCCATCCATTCACTCATCTCTCCCTTCATTTACATAGTAAGTATTTATTGAGTCTCTATCTTTCAGACACTGGGAGAATAAAAAGCAATTTCAATAAAAAAGTTTCTAGTCTCACAAAATTTACTACCACTTGAAGAGACAGACAGATAAGCAAGGTTTGCAGTGAGAAATATCTCAGAATAGACATCCTATGAAGTGAGGTGGTTCTGCACAGAGACATCAGAGAAGGTGACCTTAGGGGTGAATCCTAAAGGATATATAAAAATTTTCTAAGCAGAGATTGGAAGTGAATAGAAAGATAGCACTGTAGGCAAATGGAACAGATTGGGTAAAAAAATACAAAACAGCACAGCTATCCTCAGGTAGAGCATAGGCAAGGTAAGACTTGAGGCTGGGCAGGCCAGGGCACACAAAAATGCACAGGATTAAAATTGAAGGCTCTTATGCCAGGAAATGATATCATTGGTTATTTGTGTCCTAGAAAGTGCACCTCGGTTCAGTGTGAAGGAAGGACTGACGGGAGGCAGGGAGGTAAGTGTGGGCCCCCAAGGATGAGCTTAGGCACTAGCAGATGGGAAGGAGGAGGTGGATCTAAGAACTGAAAGGGCCCCATAATGGGTGGAGCCTGGAGACAAAGTAGCCCTGGGTGACAGCTGTAAGCAACTCCCTTGTGGACTTGGGGCTGAGGGAAGGAAGAAGTCAGTGCTACAAGCCCAGGCTGGGAATTCCTAAGAAGACGGAAGCTTGGGTCAGGATGGCAGGTAGACTGAGGAGCTTAGTCTTGCATGGGCTATGTCTGAGGTGCCTGTGGGACATCTGGGTGAAGATGCCCAGTCAACAGCATTATGTAGAAGAGGGAGATGGAGATGGAGGCCATCTGGAAGTTGAGGCTCCGGCTTACAGCACGCAGAGTAAGCGGAAGAAGAGGCTAGAGCTGACTAGATTGATGAGTGGGATGGAGGCTGCACCCAGCAGTGCTGCTCGGGGAGGGGTAAGAGTGAGGCTGCCAGTTCCCAGCCACAGCCCCCTCCCGTCAGCCCACCAGCCGTCCACGCCCTTAGGACAGGGGCTTGCTGTATTCCCTGTTCAAAGACTGCCTCACTGTGTTAGGGAAACTGGATACATATGACACACCTGCATACTTGAGAATCCTTTTTCACACCAGAAATGAATATAAAGTTCAAACTACATCAACTGTAAGTTTCTTTGCGAACACTGTTCCTTCTGTCCCCACCAGCAGCAGCAGCAAACACCATATGAGCAGCTGCCTCCTCTTCTCCTTTGTGGTATTGGGTGGGGGTCAAACCCAGAGCCTTATTTATGCCGGGCAAGCATGCAACCACTAACTCTAGCACCAGCACCCCCCCTTTAATTTTACCTTTTGAGACAAGGGTCTCCCTCACTTGCCTGGGCAGGTGCTGAACTTGCAGTCTCCCTGCGTCAGCCCCCAAGTACTTGGGGTTATGGGGCTGCACCACTGTGTGCCCAGCTCAGATGCTTTAGCAACAAGTATTTTTTCTCCTTTTCTCTCCCCATCTTTATCCCAGTGTATTTCCATACTCCCCAAATAATCTACCATATTTTTCACATATTTAAATTAATCCTAATTTCTGTCCTTTAATATCCAGAATTCATTCCCCAACTAATTTTTTTCTTCCAGTAACACAGTCCTGTGGAATCATCTCTGTAGCTGCAGTTTCAATCTTGAGAATTTTTTAAATCATACTACGATTAGACAGCTGCCTCCGAAGTCCTTGGTCTTCAGCAATAAAAGGTCTTGAATTTGGGATCTCCTCCCTTGACACAGATTTTCTTGAGCACATGTAACAGAAAGGCCGAAAGCCTGTCACATAGAGCAAGCCTTCACCCAACACCATGCCCCAGTTTCTACTTCTGAACAATGTGATCATTCACACTTTTAGGTTGTGAAGAGAATTAAAGACGACTGTTTTTAACAATTGCGTTTTCCCCTCATTAAATAGCGGCATTCGTTACTGTAAGTGCTCTCGGTAAGGTGCCTCCTCAGTCACCTACTATAGCGGTTCTCAAGCAGTAGGGCATGATGCACACTCGGGACTGGACTACTGCCACTCCTGGTGAAAGTCACATTCCAGGAAGTACAGGGAGACGTGCCTCGTGGAGGGTGGGATGCTCATGCAGTGACAGTACACAATGGGGGGAGCACAGAGAAAACTGGTAAACAGCAAGAGGAAAAATGGAAAAGTTCAGACTCAGCCTCTTTTTCCTGAAAACCAGAAAAGCTTCCTGGTAGCATTCTGTCAACAAATTTCACTGAGCTTTAGCTTACAAGTGTCAGAATGCAAACAGATGTCCTGGTTGAAGAAATATGTCTTTGTTTCTTAGTCTCCCTTCACCAGCATATTATATTTTAATCACCAAAAGTCAAACTCCTGATATAGGCCAAGTTAGCTTCTACAGTGGCAGACACGCTAGCTAGCTGTGACATTTTTTCCTTACTCCACAAGACCATTAAAAGGTTCTTAAAATAAAAAATAAATAAATAAATAAATAAATAAATAAATAAAGGTTCTTGCCAAGGCCCCAAACACTATATGAACAAAGACATGCATCACAGCGTCACTGTTTTAATACCCATCTCCAAATCTCCAGCTGTTTACTTCTTTCCTGTACATATATTAAAAACCCATTCCTGTTGTTGAGGTCTTCCCACAGGCCAAGAACACAATCCTTACAACTCTGTGAGGAAGTTCTTTTAGTAATCCCATTTTATGCACAATGTTGAAGCACCTAGAAGCTAACTAAGTCCAGCCTTGGCTTCTGGACATGTGTGACCCCAAGTGGCGGCTCTGGGGCCAGACTCATCCTAGTAGCCCAGTCTGCTCTGCCTGCATTTCCACTTCCAGGTCCTTCTTATCACCTGCTCCTCAGAAGACACCTTCCCACAATACAGCCAAGGGAATTTGATACTAGGGAACCTATTTCTAGCCAAATATGAAAATAGAGCTGGAGGCAAAGGGGTAGAAGGGATGGGGTAAAAAGCTGGAATATGTTATGTACATGTACAAACTCCATACAAGGAGTGTGTACATTATGTTATGGTTTGTGTCTAGGTGTCCTCCACAGAGCCTCATGCAGTGATGGGGCTGCCGGCTTCTAGAGTTTGTGATTAATGCATGGTCCAATGTTGGGATTACAGATGTGAGAGCTGCTGGGATTATGGATGTCAGAGCTGCTGGGATTATGGGTGTGAGTGCTATACCCACCCTGGGGCACGCAGGTTGAATGCAAATAAGGAAGAGAGAGGAGCTTGTTCTCTGCTGCTACTTCCACTCCTCCCTTTCACTCTTGCAGTTTTGCTGGTTTCTGCAGCCATGACTGCTATCCTCTGCCTTGAGTCCAGCTGAGTATGGACTGAAACCTCCAACTGTGAGCCAAAATATACCTTTCCTTCATTAATTTGGGGTGTTGTGCATTTTGTCCCAACAAGAGAAAACAGACACGTTATATACCACAAACATGCACAGAGACAGAGACAGAGACAGAGACAGAGACAGACAAACAGACAGACAGACAGATGACGATCAAGGGATGGGTGCAGAGAGAATAGGTAGAAGGGAAAGGGAATAAAAAAGGAATTAAGGGGCTAGGGAGATAGCTCAGCAGCATAACTGCCTGGCAAGTGTAAGGTCCTATGTTCAATCAAAAAAAAAAAAAAAACAGAATTAAAATGTATTAGGTACATGTACCAACTTCCCACAAGGAATGTAAACAGTCTATACTATCCATATGTACTAAT